CCAAATCATTTCTTTCTTACATGCTCCCCCACCAATTGCTCCCCCATTAAAAAAATGACAATTTTTAACTGCTGTGTGGAAGAAGGTTTTTATCCACATATAACTAAAGGCTCTAAGGATGTCTATAGAAGAAAAGGTATATACATTTATAGTAGTAACTGCCTTATGGTCAAACAAGGGAGAAGCATTGATATCGAGCCTCCTTCCAGTCTGTAACGTGAACGCACCATGGAACGCTCCCTACACTGTTTTCAACGGGACGGATACGTCAGCCGCTACTGATTGGTTAGGGCAAAATGACCCCCCCTTAGAATCTTATTGGATGTTGTGAGAAATGTCCCGCCTCTTTCCGAATTCCACCGCGGGACTCTCTTCCCATTGGTCCATCGGGCCAGAGTGCAGAGAACAACAAACAAGATAGGGTGAAGACCGTCGGGATGGATGCAGGTAAGCGAGATTTTATACTAAAATAACACATTTTCTCTCTCTTAGCAAGCTAGTCTGGCCACAAAATAACCACAGCAACGCCATTTCATTCCTGGCAACAAATCTCCCGCTCTGTCATGACGGGATTGCCAACTCCAGCCACCAGTCCAACACAGACCCTTATTGCTTTGTAGCCTCGGTGACGTTAGCCTGCTAAAGTGATGACTAAAGCTAACTGCTAACTATCGTTAGCCTGCTGTTATTGCTAAATGTGGTGGATTCCCCGCTTTGACAGCTCGCTGCACAGCTGTATAACTTCCTGTACGGTGTCCAGATGTGGAATGTGATAATGTCATGTGTTGCCGTGAAGTTCCACTCTTAATAATTAGCTTTTTGTCCTTGGGCTGACTGTTTATGCCAACGTTATGTTACGCCCAAGATGAACATCCCAGTCGATGCACTGTCACCATCATATCAGTTATTATGCTACTGTTAGCACCGAGAATGCTAGTCGCTGTTACAGAGGGTATATGACATGCAGCTAACTCATGTAGTAGAATAATAGGCAGAGACTTCTTATTGCGTTATTGTCTCTTTAGACTTTAAACCAGCTCCCTGTAAATCACAGCTTTCCGTGTTCGAGCTAACTGACTGACAGTGAGCTAGCTACTCAACTTTCTGTGTTGTTAGTGATGTGGTAACAGGACGTGTTGGCGTCAACAGCAGGAACCTTTTTCTGAACTCTCGATCAAAAGCGTACATACATTCTGCTGTGTATAAAAGCATGCACCAATTGGCCAAAATGCGATTTTGTTTCTTTCTTAAGAGGAAGTGGGTCCTTTTAATGGTGTCCATTACAGTTTTGCCTCATTTTACAGCTGGCTTTGAGCCCAGTATTTCCAACTGCAGTGCAAAGTCTGCAAACGCAGGCTGTTACTGGGATTGCTTTGTACCGTCACACTTTATTAAAGGCCCATATATTCCTACGTACTTATTTATTAACGACTAATGGCACATGGGAGATATTCGAGGAGATATTCAAGTGTGATATTTGTTTGATTTTGTCTGCTTGTCATATGTGTGTCTGTTATTAAAGTGCCCCTTTATAATCCTTAAATAATCTCTGATTTTACATATTGAGTTTAGTTTACTCGCCATGAAGAATGTCACCCAGCCTGTGAAAACAGTTGTAAAATGTCATCTGTGGCTCTGGAGGATAGATTATAATGCTAATGATATCATAATGATGTTGGCCTGGGCTTTTTAGGATTAATAGTTTATTCGCAGTAGACGGGTATTACAACCACAAATGCTGATATCAAAATGACATGGAACAAAAGTTAAGAGGGGATAAATGGGGCCCTTGTAGCTCACCTGGCAGAGCTGGCACCCCATGTACCAAGGCTGAGTCCTTGCTGCAGGGGCCGACCTGCGGCCCTTTGCTGCATGTCATCCCCTCTCTCTCTTTCCTGTCACTCTTCACTGTCAATTAAAGGCAATATTAGCCCCAAAATATATATATATATATATATAAATAAAATAAATGTTAATAAACACATCCACGACCACCCAAAAAATAATAATATACAAATCAGAATAAATCTTGAAACTTGATACTATGTTTATCCCACAGGGAGATTCCTCTTTCACTTGTCCCCTGGCATATAAGATCAAATATTAAAATGCTAGACACATTTTAAAGCTCAGCGTATATACAACCTTCCAGGAAGAGACTGGAATTCTTCTCAAGCAACGAAGTGATACTCCATCTTTACTTGCTGACAGATTGCCTCACATTTATTGGCTGCAACAAGTGGTTAGTGGTCAACGACATGGCCACCAGCAATTTCTCCACTGTAATTTCCCACATACTTACAGCTGACTCTGGTCCTGTTTTTTCAGCTACCTTGACATACGACACACTTCGCTTCGGAGAGTTTGAAGATTTTCCTGAGACCTCAGAGCCTGTGTGGATCTTAGGGAAAGAATACAATGCACTCACAGGTAGGACTGTGGAATATAAAGCGAATGTGAGACAGAGTATTGAAGTTCTAAAGAATCATTAGCAAGTATACATTTTTCTCTGTGGATGCATTGTAATGTGATGATTTCTTGCTTTCTTGTAGAGAAAGATGAGATTTTATCAGATGTCACTTCACGACTGTGGTTCACATACAGAAAAAACTTCCCACCAATTGGTAAGTAAAGAAATGCCCCTTAACTACAGTTGATGAGATTGTTGATTTGAGAAATCTGTGTTTTAACATCTAATTACAAAAGAGAATCTCATGATTCTTGAATGTGTTACAGGTGGAACAGGACCAACGTCAGATACAGGATGGGGATGCATGTTGCGGTGCGGCCAGATGATCCTAGGCGAGGCCTTGATGTGTAGACATTTAGGCAGAGGTAAGAAAATATAAACACAAAGAAATATCTCCCTCGATGATAGATAGATAGATACAGATATACGTATATTTTCTCACTGTGTGGCACTAACAGCTCGTCTCCAGTGAGTAGACTATACCAAACAGAGCGTGTTTTAAACAGGCGTGATAAGTGGCTTTTTGTTCTCAGACTGGAGATGGGCCAGAGGCCAGAAACAAAGAGAAGAGTACATCAGTATTCTCAACGCCTTCATTGACAAAAAAGACAGCTATTATTCCATCCATCAGATTGGTAAGTAGTGAGTGAAAAACATTTCTAATTATATGAAGGACTTCCTCAGGCAGTCCTGAAGGAGTTTCCCTAAAATTGTTTCTTTTTTTGTTCTTAAATGCTGCAGCCCAAATGGGAGTTGGAGAGGGGAAGCCTATAGGCCAGTGGTATGGACCAAACACAGTTGCCCAGGTTCTAAAGTAAGTACCGGAAAGAAGCAACATGTTTCAGTTGTTTCCTGATTTTATATTTAAGCCTGCAACTAATGATTATTTTTTGCGATTAATTACAACAAATATTTAAAAATACCTGCCGCAAGTTCCCAAAGCCTGAGGTAAAATCTTCAAATTGCTTGTTTTGGCCAAGTTAAAGTCCAGAACCCAAAGATATTCAACTTACATGGATATAAAACTGACAAATACAGCAAAGCCTGAACATAAAGTGTGTATCCTTGAGGGCCAGCAAATGTGTTGAATACATTTACTTCCCCTCATAACATTTGCAAAGCTTACTTTTTTGATATTTGAAATTGTAAAATATTTACATCCATGCTTGCAGTTTTCACAGCCTTCGCGGGCACATTGCTACATTTCTTATCGCATTAGCATTATCAATGGTCAATGAGCATAATAGTGTGAAAGCGGCTGCAGGAATGTGTATCGTGTCACGCTTGCAAGTGCATTCTAGTGCTCGAGCACGATACAATGGTGTCTTTCTTTTCCACTCTCACCATGTACCATATGTATCTATCTCACTGTCAAACAATCAACGTAAAAGGCAAGATATTGTACATTGAGGAGGTTTAAAACAATAAAAAAAGTCTTTCCAATTTGGTAAAACAAAAAAGTGACTGTCTCAATGTGCTTTCAGGAAGCTGGCCGTGTTTGATACGTGGAGCAGATTAGTTGTCCATGTGGCAATGGACAACACTGTGGTCATCGAGGAGATCAGTGAGTGCAGTGGTGTTGCAACTTTATGTTTGAGGGTTTTTTTTTCTTTTATCATTCATTAGCATAAGCAGTTTAAATGTCACTCTAGGTTAAACTATGGACTGTACTTGGATTGTTTAGAGAAGTAAAACGTCAGCTAAATGTTACTATTGCTACAGGACAAAGTTTCTAGGTGAACACAAATACAAATGTGAGTTGGATCTTTAAGTGTTCAGCTTCCATTACATGGACTTCTGTCTCAATTTAACTAAAACAGTTAGTGGTCAGTGTCAGCATTTTACTCTAAAGCAGGTATGTTTTCAGCATTTTCTGACTACATGACCTAATGCTAATCTGCTACATTGAAGTTTAGACTACAATTTGAAGCAAAATCTTCTTTTCTTTATGTGCCACACACAGTTGTAATGTTTTGTGATCTATTTTTTTCACTGCAGAGCGTCTCTGTATGCCCTGGCTGGATGCTGCAGGAGTCTATGAACCAGAAGGAGTGGGGGAGCTCAATGGCTGCCTGGAGGGGGCGTGTGCCCTGGCTGAAGAGGAGACTGCTCTCTGGAAACCTCTGGTCCTGCTCATCCCCCTCAGGCTGGGCCTGAGTGATATAAATGAGGCCTACATCGAAACCCTTAAGGTGGGGTTCTTCAGCGTGTATATTTCCATTGTGTGTCTAAATATGGGGGCTGTCACTCTTTTTTTTCATGAATTTCAGTGTGTTATCATTAATTATTGTCAAAGTTACACAACCCGTGTATGGGGACGCAGCGTAATGCATCGTCTTGCTATAAGGCATGCAGTATGTAAATATTCTTTTGTCCAGGGAACATAATCCTGATATTGCTTCATCTGCTCCTCAGTGAGTGACAATTAAAGCTATTTCAAAGTCTTAGCTAATGGCCTAGTAGTTGTAGACTATGGTCATGCAAAATAAGGCATTAATAAGCGCTTTATAATGACAGTAGACAGGAGAGTCAATATGCATGCTAATAAGCTAATAGTTAATGATGAATATGTGTACTTTAATATAAAACATTACAACATTTTCCAGGATAGGGAAATATGTCAAATAAACATCAAGATATCATTATTATTATTATTCTGTGCTGTGAGGACATGTTTGCTTACATTTTAAAACACAGACAACATAGTGGACTCTGGTTTGCTGGTGGCTTTTTGGTGTGCTTGCTGTAGTTTTGCCCACATAGAACGTCCCTTAAGGAACTGAACCTACACAAATAATCTAAAAAAAAAAGGAAATTGTCATAATGTAATGTATGTTTGTAGTGAATTGGCTAAAAGATTTATGAAACAGGTACTTGAATTACCACTGAGGCAAAGTCAGCTACAACTGGGGTGAGATAAACCCTCTTGTCTCTTTTCACAGCAATGCTTCATGCTGCCTCAGTCCCTGGGTGTTATTGGGGGAAAACCCAACAGTGCCCATTACTTCATTGGTTATGTCGGTATGTCTAGTCTCTGTGTTTGTGAAATAAACAGTGCACTGCACACTCATGCTCACCATATTAATTCTACGTACACCAAGAGAACTATCGAATTATAAAACAGGCTTTTTTTTTTTCCCAGGAGAGGAACTCATCTATTTAGACCCGCACACCACTCAGCCTGCAGTGGAGCCGTGTGAAGATGGCCAGGTCCCCGATGAGACGTACCATTGTCAGCACCCACCCTGTCGCATGCACATCTGTGAACTGGACCCATCCATCGCAGCGGTAGGAATGCCAGGGGTTTTATAGCACAGAGCTTTAGTATCTCAAACTAAAGCCCATTGTTTAATGTGAATGTGAGCAGGCTGCAAACTTTTTACAGTAAGTCAGAGGTTTCTATAGCTGATTGTTTTCTGGTCTCTGCCAGGGGTTCTTCTGCAGAACAGAGGACGAGTTTGATGACTGGTGTATGCGCATAAGGAGGGTATGTTTGTGTAAACACTGCGCTTTTGTTGCTCCCTTGACTTGTCTAAAGCATCACTTTCCTCTCAGAGGAATTTGTACGTGATAAAATGGTGGTCCTTCTCTTCTAGCTGTCCTGCAACAGAGGGGGCCTGCCCATGTTTGAACTAGTCGACAGCCAGCCCTCTCACATGGTCAGCGTGGATGCCCTCAACCTTACTCCTGGTAAATGAACTGCATATTCTTTCAGCAAATATTCCAAAAATTCAGAAAATGAAAAATCATTTTAATGTTGTTTTGTCCTTTCACGCGTTGACGCTCCCTTGACAGATTTCTCAGACTCGGACAGATTGGAACGGTTCTTTGATTCAGAAGATGAAGAGTTTGAGATCCTTTCCCTGTGAGGAACATATGGACAATGATTTACTGTTCTCGACAGTCGGCGAGAGATTCTCTGTCTCTTCTCTGTATCAGAAGGGAAGCCTGAGGGGATGAACATTAACTGGAGACCTCTTGAGCCAGTCCAGCTCCAAATGGTGTAGTCAGTGTGTGTCACACAGCGTTTCTTCTCAACAGCCACTGAATGCTCTCTGTATCCAACATTGAGACTGCCTGGTGGAAGCCGTAGCAGGAGCTCAGGATAAATTCTGTATGCACATTTTCACATTACATGTGTTTCCATTTGAGTCTTAACACTTTAAATGTTTATTCTGAAGTGATATGGTGCCTTTCCCTGACTCCATAAGTAAAATTGCCATAACAGTTTTATGTTGTATAGAAACACAATGATTCATGATGCCCATGGCTTATGCGGTTTGTCACTAATAACTGAAGTCTGTAACAGCCTGTAATGAAACCAAATTAAGTCAAATCTGCAGACAAGTTGTATTAATTGTATCCTTGCCAAGTCTAAAACATATACCCTAGTTCATTTGAAGATTATTTATTTAATCAATACAATATATAGACAGGTGAAAGAACAATAGACCATGTAAGAGGATTAAAACCTAAAAATAAAATCAGAATCTGATGGACAATGGTTCTACTCAATTTCAAGACAGTATAAGAATTATATTTGAATCACACCCAAAGCATTTCTCTTCCACATTCAAACAATGTCAAGTAAAAAAAAAAAGGGGGCTTTTGCAAAGTAGTTGCTGTACCAACAGACCGTCGGTGTCCAAACAGTTTGACTCAGACTGCTTCAGGTTCACTTCCATAGCTCTTCAAGTGGCAGGTTCTGAGCTGTGTTGATGGCATTAAGGCTGTGGGTCGTGATGTCCTTGTGCACATCCTCAACATTCTGAGCAGCATCAATGACCTGGAACAAACAATTTAGATCACAGATTGTTGAACATTACTGATTTAAAAGACACCTGGGGAAAAAAATAAAAAAAATCTAGAATCAAGATCCGCCTCGTACCTGCCAGTTGACTGAAGGATCCTTCATCAGATGTTCAAATTTCTGTTGAACCGCTCTCTGGAAAACACTGGTCTCATACCTCTCTTCTCCAAACTGACCTCTGAGAGCAGCCTCAGCTGGGCTCAGCTGTAGAAACATAACAAGGTCCGGCTTTGGCAATCCCACATCCGGTTTCATACACCAGTCCAGACAGAAACCCTGGAGGAGATGAACATGTCAAACTATATGTTGCTCTTCTCAAACACACACATGATACAGTGTGATGGCTGAGAAAGAGACTCACCGGCTTTGCACTGGTGAACGCAACTCCAGAGAAGGCGTACCTATCTACTACCAGAGTGGTGCCTTGGTCCAGCTTCTTCTTCATTAACGGCCTGTAGTCAGAATTATTGTATTATGCTGCACAAGACAATGTTTACAAGTTAGATGAAACTAAGCAAGGTTAGTGACAAAAGAAAGAAAAAGAAAATGCATTCTTCAGTTTGGATCATTGCTAATGAAGGCAACTGCAGAGACATAAAGAAAAAGTACATTTACTCAAAGTCTGCATTTTTAGCTCTGGCTTGAAGCCCCAAGCTCCTACTGAAAAATAAGGCATAAATATATAGTTTTATTTTTCAAATAGGCTAAATAATTGACTTAAACTGCTGGACACTGCAGTTTTCTTTTTTCTTTTATTCAGTAAAAAGTAGTGCTGGTGAGGAGTTTAGATAGTGCTTGTAGATTTGTCCATGTACATCCTTAAATCATGGGCAAATCAATTCAAATACTTTATGTATAACTAGATATTACCAGGGGCAAAAAACTAGGACTGCCCCCTAAACGTCGATCAGTCAAAAACCCCAAGTCGGATCTCATTTTGTCGGTCAAATCCCTGCGCGCTGTTTGGCTGCACAGAGCCAGGCGGGGTGGCTGAATGCCAAGTTTATTCACTTTTACAAACTGAGTCTTGTCTCAAAATGAACTAACTTTAACTGCAAAACGAAGTGCAAACTTTTTGTAATGTGGGTGAACTGGTCCTGGTTGTGCCGACAACTTAATGTTACCCTTCACGGTGAGTATTTAGTGCATATTGTAGACCTTTTTCACAGCTGACGCTTTGACTTATCACAGATGGATTTAGTAACATTTAACGACGGTTCCCAGTAAGCTACAACACTTAATAATAATTCACGTTGTGCTTTGACATGTCAAAATGTCTGCCGTGAGAAAGGCAGACAGTTGCACTACTTTCACTTAAATAAAATGCTAAATGTAAAACTTGCATTTATTACTTGTATTTTTTTAAATTGTATTATCCACAATAAACCAAGAGTCTTACACCAGTTCCCATCGGTTTGCAGAGAACAGCAGGTGCACTGTGTGGTCCTCCAGGTCACTCTTCTTCTCCAGGTAGGCGCTTATCAGCTGTCCAATGGTCGTGGTCCTGTCTGCCCCAGAGACACCGCACCACAGCTCATTATATTACTGTTACAGTGCTGTACGGTTACACTTCAACTACAGGCGACTAAAAGGAAGGAACACCTAAATGACAGTTATTCAAACGTGACAAACAATAACAGCGTCTCACCGGGGAACCTCATCATCTCTACGGGTCGGCCGCTCTGTTGCAGCGCCTGGACCAGCTTCTTGCACTGCGTCGTTTTCCCGGCTTTGTCTACTCCCTCCAGCACAATGAGAGCTCCTCTTTTACACGCCATTACTGCCGACTGTTTATCGGCGCTGTCCTCCCGCTGGCAGGAAGGGAGAGACGGACGAACTACTGCAGCTAAACTGCAAACAGCTGTCGACTCCTTATCAGTATTTACCCGCCTTTTACTGAAGCGGTGCCTCGATACGGAAGTACAACGACGCACTTCCGGTTCCGTTTGTTGTTGTTTTTTTTTTAAAACAACTTTATTAAATTAAAAGAAACAGGGAGTGACAGACACAGTTCTGCACGTGGCAACTCCAGGCTGACTGTTGTATAAAAACACATAAAATTATAAGTCAAATTAAAAAATATATTTGAATTTATTTATTTCCTATATATTGTTTCCTTGTATAAGATTAGATTGCACATTCCATTCACACTGTTAAGCACTTTTGATATGATAAATGTAATAAATCCACATAATAAAAATATTCACAATGCACAAGAAGGAGTCATTTTAAATTAAGTAATGTTAAATTTGAAGGCAGCTGAGAAGCATCGATCCGTTTTAGCGTGACCTCTCACCTCATTTGTTAGCAACCACCCAACTGGAAAGTTTCAAACCGGTTCCAAGATATGTTTTCAGCCACAGCCCAGTGTGGGATTCACAACAGAGCATGTCTTACAACATGTCTTATGCTTTGCGCTTTAGCTCTCATGTTGTTCTGATAGCAGGATGAAAAGTATGTCCTCATTCTACAGCTCATACTGCATCTCCCACAAGGCTTCAACAGAGTACTAATGGCTAAGAGTCATGGGATGTGTAGTTTTTGAGTGAAATGATCAGTGTAAAAAATTCTACTTTTATCATTACTGTAACAGAGATTCACTTGGTTTTAGATGTGGACAGAAAACAGGAACCTGTCTGAGGTTATCAGTAAAATGATGAAAGAAGCCCACCATGAGAAAACCCACTGATGTCAAGATAGACCTACACTTAGCTAGCTACAGGCAGGCAGGATCAGGTCTTTCTATACATGTAAAATGTATAAGAGTGGAATACTATCATGTGAAATTAGTCATTACCATGTGTTTATATTAGACTGAAAACTAGATAACAGACTGCTGCTGACAAAAGGTACTACAACATTATGAAGACAACCCCACTGTTCTCATTCAAGTGGTGACTGAGCTGCACAAGACGACTACTGAGAATAATGCTTTATTTATTACACACAGTCTCTTCCTTATGACAGTAGCTGTGATTCAGGATTATCTTTACAGCATCCAACAGAGACATGTTACACTTTGCTTTTATGGCAGTGTTTCAGAGCATCTTTCAGTGCTGCCAGCACCATGTCAACATTGGCCTTGCTGCTGTTACATCCCATCAGTCCCACGCGAAGCACCTGAAATGACAGAAAAAGATCTGGGAGTTATACACAGGTCTTAAGCAACTTTTTGGTGGGCATACATAATAAGTTAAGAACTGGGTATTTTTTACATAATCTCTCACCAAGCCAACTGATGGTCCAAGCCCTCCAGAAATCTCTAAATTATGTGTTTTCATGATGTAGGTAGTGATCTCTTTCCAGTCATATCCATGAGGAGCAACAATAGTGGTAACTGTAGAGAGTCTCGCTTTCTGTAATAACCATTTAAGTCAGAGTTAGTACATTTCCCCCATATATAACTTTTTTATATATTATATATATAATTTATTATACAAATGATATGATTGTGTTCAAACATGAAACTCACCTTTTCTTTGACAAAAAGTTTGAGACCCATGTTCTCTAGGCCAGCATGGAAATACTCTGCTACTTTCTGATGTCTTTCCCATGATTTCTCCAGACCCTTAGAATGACAGAAAAATGGCATAAAAACACTGTAGACTAACTGCATGTGTGGTGTGCAGTTTGGGCTCAGTGTTTTGAAGGAAATGGCTCTCCATAAATGACTAATTCATACTTGCTGGCTTATTCTGACAAAAGTATCGTTGGCACAGATCTGTACAGAAGGGCCTAGAAATATGCAAAATCTAAATATTTAAACACGTCCCACCTCTTCAACAAGCACAGCCAGACTCTCCCTCAGAGAGTAAAAAGCAGTGACTGGACCTGTGTGGTGATATCTATGGAGAGGAAATGGAGAAGATCTTTAGAAATTGTGCAAGTATGGCTAAAAATGAGACAGTTCCAGTCTGCAGGGAAAAAGATGTCTTACACTCTTGACGGCTTGCCATCACATCCCCAGTAGTTTGCAAGCCAACTCAAATCCAAGAAGAAGGACACAGGCTTTGTCCTCCGGTTGAATGTTTTCTGGCTGTGGATAAATTCAACTTTAAATCCACGTGTTACACTTATTTTAAATTATTACTTGTATATGCATTTCTCACCATGCTCTTTCACTGAAGGAGATGGGTGCTGTACCGGGAGGAGCATTCAAGACCTTTTGGGAGCCTGTGTATAGGATGTCTATCCCTGTAAATACAAACATTCACAAATAAAAATCTATGTTTGGTGTCGTCAAAACAGATAATGTAACACAGTAAATGGTTTCATCAGCTGCCCCAGAGACACAACATCTAACAGGATTTAATACTAAACCTTGCTGGTCCATGTATAGAGGGGCCCCACCAATTGATGCCACAGAGTCGACCAGAAACAAGCAGTTGTACCTGTAGGCACACGTCATAACAGAGCTACTATCTGCCCTTAAGTTTGTTACAGATGTGATGATTTCAGAGGAGCGAGTGCTGCATCTCACTTATGACACAGCTGTCCGATGCCATCTAAAGGATGCAGGACTCCCGTAGAGGATTCTCCATGTGCGAGGAAGAACACCACTGGCCTGTGTTTTGATAAGGCCTGTGATGAGATAACAGCATGATCACACAGACTGCAGCTTTGACAGAGTGAATTTGAGTAGCCTGATAACTGGAGAGTTCGAGTGGTACCTGCTCAATTTCTGCATTAGTGAAGAAGCCACCAGGGGGCGCCACAATGGTATTTACTCTGGCACCTGTTGGATTGACACACATGATATTCTGTGGTTGAATCGCCTTGGAATTATTTTTATTTAATTAATTAATGAAAGGTAATATTATGTTTTTTATTATTGTCAACAAATCTCATGTAAATGAGCCACACTGTTGCACTGAGTGATATGTTCCTTCATTATGATGCCAATGGGCACTTTAGTTTATTATTAGTCAGTCCTACATACACAGTCCTGCTGCTACATACTAGTGCACCAAATGTGTATTAATCCACAGCTGAAAATAGTCTCCAACAAATGCACTGTGTTTAAAGTGCTTAAAACTACACTGACCACCTTTTTCAAAATATTTATATGTTCAGTAGGAACCGATGGGCTTAGAGTTGAGAGCCACAGACGGAGAAGTTAAAGACTACTGAGAGGTGGACTAACACATTGTTGGTTTTGTTCTTTTCATTTGTTGGCCACCAAAATACCACCAACGTTACCTATCCTCTCAGCCATTTCTGCTGCTCGCTCTCCCCATATGCCGTTGACTGCAGTCAGAACGCTCTCCCCGGGCTCCACTGTGTTAAAGATGGCACACTCCATAGCAGTGTGGCCAGTGCCGCTCACAGCTAAAGTCATGTTGTTCTGAGTCTGGAACATGTACTGGATTCCACTTTTGATGTCACTCATTATCTGTAATTTGAAAAGAGCACATTATGGTGAAAGAGGTATATATCCTTTGTACTATACTACCCTGTGGCCTTTCAGCTTCTCAAATATGACTATTCATTGGTTTCTTTAGTCTAATAAAGTCTAACTAGTCTAACTAAATAGTGATGGGCACTTTTCACTAATTTCTGACATTCTATGGACCAGAGAAAATTAATTCATAAAAAAGATAAATATTAGTTGCAGTCCCACTTGCAAGCATGTTCTCTCTATCTGCTCATGTTTTGTATTTAAAATCTTCATCTAGAAAGTAGTAGTGTCGAAAGCTGTCATATAAATGTAGATCAGTAAAAAGTACAATATTTCCCTCTGAAACATAGTGAAGTAGACATATAAAGTAACATAAAATGAAAATACTCAAGTAAAGTACAATTCCAATGTTATACTTAAGTACAGTACATGAGTAAATGTACTTTGCTGCTTTCCATCACTGGCAATTCATAATAGATGCTCCATTTTACCCAGTGTTACAACTTGTTACAACTTGTTACAATATTGACCTCTTTGAAGCAGTGTAATTTCTGTGCACAATGGAGATGTTGAAAATGAAGTTAATGATTTTTTAAATATTTTTCAACTGAGAAGGGAGATTGGGAAAGCAAAGGTTTTACAATCATTCCCACTCCTCCATTACAATGTGGACAGTGTACTTATAGTATTAGCTTTTAAAGTTCATATCTTTACTCTGTTTGAGGTATATGTTTATAAAAGTCATTGTCATGACTCTTATGCCTCTCTTCCTCAATAGGCTACATCATGTGTGTTAAACCCACCGAGTTACCTCAAATATCTCTGGATGCATGTGTCCAATGACAGGATTGGCTCCAGCCTTCAAGATTCGTGGAGGGACGTTGGAGGGTCCTGGTCCAAACATGTGGCGATGTGGAACCACCAGCGGTTTCTGCAGACATTTTGGTGGCGGTACAGAGACGGACGACATGTTCCCAGCAGTGTGATAAGCGCAGTAAAACCACAAAAGCTGTGGAAGCAGGTGAAGTAAAGCCTCCACTGAGCACGCCCCTCTGTCCGACCAGTGAAGTCCTCAGGTCAGGAGTCTGTCACAACATTTTCTTCTGTCAACACTTGTTGCTTTCTGTGTGCAGTGAGCTCAGGTAGCTTGATACTTTCCAATTTTCAAAGATAAGGAAGTCACCCAACATGTCCTCAAGTGTTAATCATTGACCACAGACTCTCCAGAGCATCAGGTTTAACTATTGCACTGCTATGCTTTTGACCTAATAAACAGCATGACATGTCTCTTCCACAAATAACAAGGACAAATGCTCCTTTTAGCCTACATTTTAAATCAGTTAAATGTAGGTTCTGACCAGTTAGAGTTTATAAGATTCATACTGTAGCTTTCACTACTTTACAGTGTGTATAAGTTCAAACCTGGAAAAGTCTAGTAAAAGTATAACAGATTTAAGATAGTTATTTTGTTCTAGTATAATCGCAGGATTTTTGCTTTTGGTGATAATAATAATAGAATAAGGTAGAAAGTCATCCCAGTACATTGCATACAGTCACATGCCCAGCACATCCAGTCTAAGGACAGGGTTAACAAAAGTCAAAGTGTGTACATCACACAGTTCTCCATGGGCTCAAGAGCTTTGGGGAGGCTGATATATTATACATCTACAGGAATATCTTTTGTTGTGATGTGAACTCTATTGAAAGTATGCTTTTATATAATTTTGAAGGAAAATGGTTTGAAAACATGTAGCTAAAACCCAAATTATAACACATATATGCACATAAAACAAAAAGTTATGGCCTTTAATTGTATTTATATGTTATTATGGCGCTATTGGGGTTTGCAGATGCAAGCATTTTCAGAAAAATAGACTGTGTGGGCTGGGTTTTGTGTGGTGAGTTGGGAAAGACGTGTAAAGTGTGTTGTTCATTTTTTTCATGAAATGGCTTGACAAAAACTTGAAATATTCTGGTTTACAGTAAATTACATAAATTGGAAAGATTGTTTAATTCTGATGTGTTGAAGTGTGCTAACTTTGTCTCAAAAGCCAGAAGAAGAGTTGATTCTTTTAGCAGCTTTGTACCCAGGGAGCTCTTTTTCCAGCTTTCTTTTTCATTATTTTGGTAGGTTATTGGCCCTTAAATCATATTTCTGACACTATCACAAGTTTATAAAAAAGAGTTAACCGTCTGTTAAACCAGCAAGTGTTCCCAGTTCTATTACAAATGAAAATTGTGATGTAAAAATATTTAGATAATAAAATATAATGAAAAGCACTGTGAGATACATTAAGGAAACACTGTGGTGCACTCTTAGCAACAGACACAAACAGACACAAACACAATAACGCAGTTTACTTACAGCTTGTTGTTATTATCTTCAACAAGGCTGGGGGCGTTATTGTACTTCTGTGGAATGAGGAGATGCTTCCCCAGAGGCTCGGGGCACAAGGAGCCTTCTCTGTACACCAGTCGCCCCCTGACGATCGTGGCACACACCACTCCATGCAGTGTGACGCCGAGGTAAGGAGTTAGCTGCACACACACACACGCACACGTCACAATCATGAGCTCAGCCATATAAAAAATGTGCTCCTGACATCATAGCATTTATTGATTTAATGAGGTTTACCTTGTTTTTATGATGTACGCTTGCTTCTTTAATCTGTGAAGCATGACAGAAATGATTAATATAATACAAGCATATAGTTTTTCTAAATATGTAAGCAGATATAGGGAGTTTATTGATGTTATGGATTCCTTATACTAACTTCAAATTCTCTCTCTGGGTCCCATATGACCAAGTCAGCATCATAGCCAGGGGCGAGGCTGCCCTTCTGGCCGTCGAGACTACACAGCTGGGCGGTTTTCCGGCTGAGGAGTCTCACCACATCAGACAGCTGAAAGCCTCTCTTACTGGCTGAACTCCAGAACAGAGGCAAACCTGCAAATGGTTAAAATGGGGTGGAGTGATTAACAGGCCTATAGAGCACTGAGCTGACGCCATCAAATATTTATGAGGTTTTTCATAGATTGTCTCTCCTGCTTCTAGTTGTTCTTTTGCAAAGGTACAATCACATCAGTAAGAGTAATAATTCAATGAGGCGAAGCAGCAAACACAGTGGATCAGTGTCAGACTTTGACCACTCTCTCACTGTGTCTGAACAGTAAATGATTGTTCTGTCCTCTAAACTGGCACTCAGCTCTTGTTTACCTCCCTGCAAACTTTGCCCAGTGTGGGTGATTGTCAGAGGGATTATGGGGGTGGGAGGAGGGAACATCTAATCCACCCTAAAGGAAAATTTGCATATAAATTCCCTGTAATATATTGCACATGTTTAAGTTGTGAATTTTAACCAGCGTCTCCTTCAGCTGAACAGCGGAGAGGATTTGTCATGTAGAGACTAATCCTGGAGCTGCTCCATAGACAGTGAATAATGTGAAAACTGCCATGAGCCTGAGACAGATGCCACAGAAATTTTACAGTGATGCCGGTGCATTATCCGACTCACAGCTAAAAGCCCTATTTTCAGATATCAAAACACTCATTAGAATGTAAATTTAAAAAGAAAATCTATATAGTAAGCTGGATAGTATGTACTGTACTGTAAGTGTCTGAAATCCGTCTCCCAGTAAGATTAATCATTAAACTGATGAAACCAGGGCACTGATTACAGATTTAATAACACTGGACACTGATGAGTCAATGACCTTTGACATAATTTTGAGATGGAGCATCACATCAAATATAATACTTCCAGGGCTGAGGTAAGCTAAAATGTAAAAACTCATGGAAAATAAGAAATAAAATATATACATGGCTAGGCATTTGCAGCCATAACAATTGCTGTTAAGTTAAACCAGCCAAGATAATATTTTGTAGCTGTTTCCATTGCTAAATCTGCTGTATGAGTGCAGCTAGATGGCAGCAGAATAAAAGAATATTTAAGCTTTATAATGCTAATTTCCTGATGCAGATCAAGCATACTGGTAAGCCAGTATTATTGGTGGGGAAAGCAAAGAAATCTGGCGATGTACTATTAAATTCTCTATAAAAAACAAAACAAAGAGCAAAGTAAAATTCACAGTTCCCAAATCATTGAAATATAACAATGTAATGTTATGTTGCATTGAGTTTTGCATGATCAGTCGTGCTAGTACTAGAGTTTTGATCGTTCGACTGTAGTTACCAAATTGTAGAGAAGAAATTCCTCCCCAAGCCTGAGTGAAGTCTCCACTATCCAGTTTCTTCAGATCAGGGGTGCAGGGGGAATGATCAGACACCACCATGTCAATATGCCCAGCTTTCAGTGCGGACCATAACTGCTCCTGTGGGACAAAATCAATCATCTATTAGTAAATTATAGAATAATTAATCAAATGCAGCCAACTAGTAACTATAAATAGTCAGATTTGTATCTACTGTGCATCCTCTTCTGTTTACCTGGTTGATAGACCCTCTGATGGGGGGGCAGCACTTGAATTGTGTGGCCCCTGCAGGTATGTTCTCTGCACACAGGCTGAGGTAGTGGTGTGTAGTCTCCACTGTCAAGGGGGCTCCGGCCTGCCGTGCCTCCTGGATCAGTTTCAATGGCTTTGCAGAGGACAAGTGAACTATATGGCACCGCACCCTGGAGCAGAGAGAGTCAGCTGACTGCAACATCGATACTACAAACACAGCCAAATCCAGATTTATCCACTATCATTATGGTTATTTGTTACTACACAGATGTTCTTACTGATACTGGAGGCAGAGTTCTGTGACAGTGCGAATTGCCTCTATCTCCATGACATCTGGCCTGGAGTGCAGAAAGGTGGAGTACTGACTAGGATCTGCATGGGAAGGGATGGAGTTTATACAAACCAGAGCAGGGCAGGATATCAGTGTAGTACTAATACTGTGTTATTAGCATATTAACAAATACATCTTAAATGCTGCTATTTGTTGGTCCTAAAAGTTAAATGATACAGTTTCTAAACTTAGACACAACAGTCAACCCTGCTTGAAATAAAAGCATGAATGAGTTTTGTCTAGGTCGGCATTTAACAGAAAGTTCCTGAGTTTGGCTGTATTTGTAAGATGATAATAAGCTGATCTTTTTACTGCTTTTTTGTGACTATTTAGACTAAGATCAGAGTCGATTATACCGCCAAGGGGAGGCACAGAGCATAGGAGTGTCATTTAATATTTGGGAAGTTTGGTTTAGGTTAATGGCTAAAAATATGATGAAGATGAAGACATCAACTTTGGCTTCTTATTACATAATTCACTATAGTATTATATTTTCATAATAAAAAAGTGAACTTTTGTAGTAACAACCACAAAATATAATAATTTATTACAAAGTCTGGGGAAATGTATTACATATTGCGTGTTTATTAAGAAATATGGCAGAACAACAAACTGTGGCCGTTATTATTATTAATCATTAACAATAATAAAGTGAAAATCTATTTAATTTTGTTGAGTTATTACATAATGTGTTATTCACTCAAATCACAAACACAACTATCCCGCACTGTAGACAGTTTTTATCATCACCATCACAGCCACCAGTGATAACTACCACCAGCATTTATTGGCACAAATCAATCAATTAATGATACAGCGAGAACTGAACTGAAAAATAGCAGAATCTACATAGGATGTAAAACAGATCTGCCAGCATGGTGATGTTTTAAAAAATCAAATCTCAATGTCCTCACAATATTTGGCATTCAGGTATTGGGACAAAACTATCATATCTGATTTTGTTGATACTGCCCAGCCTTAATTTAAACTTTAATTAATTTAATACTGACTGCAGCAGATAAAAAAGGGTATGCCACAATGAGATAATCTATTGTGCGCTTGTACGTACCGCCATTCTCCTCTATTGTCTGCTCAACATCCCTCTCTGCATGAAACTACAGGAGACAAAGCAGAATGTATTTCAGTTACAATATTAGGGCATGTGGATTTAATAATCAGTAATGTTATAGAAGATTGGTAAGTTACCAGCAGGACACTTCCTGTGCGCTGTAGCTGCTTCATGGCTGTGTGCAGATCACAGTCAGTCACATGGGGGAACTCCTCCACCCCACTATGGATGAGGAAACACTTGAAGCCGGCCACTCCAGCCTGGATCATGGGCTGAAGTTCTAGCTGTAAGGAGACATTCGTTTTTGTGTTTACTTTGATCTTAATTCAGAACAGTCTGGCTGAGAATGTGTTGATTTTGTCCAAGCTGTTACACTGTACCTGATTGCCAGGAATCACACCTCCCCAGAAGGCTGTGTCCACAAAACACTTCCCCGTCGCCTCCTGCAGCTTCTCACGAAAATTACCAAGTGTTGTAGTTGGAGGGATGCTATTTCTGTGGGAAAAAAGAAACAAAAATCAACTGCCGGCAACTTAAAATCTAATTTTCCAAAATGTTATTTTCCTTGACCCCATTTGTCAAAAGCATCTTTAAGTTAAGTTGATCTTAGTCCCCCTGTAAATACTCCATGGGCTGAAATCATCATCATGAGCAAGTATCTATCTATCTATCTATCTATCTATCTAGTTAATAAATAGTATAGTTAATAACTAAATAATTTAACAGCACTAATCTTTTTGCACTTAAGAAACTTGAGATAGTTGTCTCAGTGCTCTCGTTTGATTTGCAGCTGCATCGAATGAAAACGCATTTACACATTACTGAGACATTATTAAGCAAATGGTTATGTTATTAAAAAGTGACAGTAGATATTTATTGATTTTGGGAGGGGGAAGTGTCCAACTTACAGCGGCATGTCCACAATGGTTGTCACCCCTCCAGCTGCAGCAGCCCTGGTTGCGGTCCAGAAACCCTCCCAGGACGTGCGGCCTGGTTCATTCACATGTACATGGCAATCAACAATGCCCGGCATCACCACACTGTCACCCACATCCAACGCCTGCCATCACATTGGGTTACATTCAGGATAACCATTGTTAAAGTGCAAGAAGATGATGAGAAGTGTTAGATCAATGCATATGACCTTAGAAACATAAAGAAGTACCCTGAAACAGACCAATGAGAGCCAGCTTACCTCACAGGCAACATCCCCAGTGAAGTCCCCCTCTGAGAGTATTTGATGGATTTTCCCATCCTTTATCAGGACCACAGCAGGACGGACTTCCTCACCAACCAGTACCCTCTTACTCCTCACTGCACTAACTGTTGATCCGAGCTCCATGCTTGTCTGTATTTAGTTTATGAGTACAATAGACTCTCCTTACTCTGCTTCTGCACAGTCTTTGGCAGTTCAGTGGCCTGGAGTGCAGAAGCCCCACCCCCTGCTAAATAGTTCAACTGATAACCATTTGTTGACTTTTTGTCTCTGTATGACAAACTGCCGGTCCGCGGGCCATTTCCGGCCCGCAACCCTCCTCCCTCCGGCCCGCGATAAAATGTCAAAAATATAATATAATCCGGCCGCCGGTATATTAACGGTCGGCACTGGTTTTAGTATTTTTCAGAGCAACAGAGAGAGAGACGGTATCTGGTGGATGGTTAACAAGCACAAAGCAGGTGAAGTTTCGTTTTCAGTAGGTGAGTCTCCTTAATGCGCGGCTCACCTGAAAACGGAATCACAGTGTGTGTGTGTGTGTGTGTGTGTGTGAGGAAAAAGCAAGAGCACTAAGTTTTAGTAAACACTAAAACACCAAAATAAAGTAGACAATTAAGTAGAGTTATAGTGATGAAATAAGAAAAATGGATATAAGAAGAGAGCAGTTTCAGGCATTTGTTGTTTGACTGAAAGATGATATAACAATATATATGGTAGGAATACCATTTAGGTGTGAGTCCCCTGCTGTATGACATGCTGAACTGCAACCATGATCAGCAGTTCAGGTGATAATTTGCATGTTGGGACTAGAACAACAATTGCAGATACATGGGATACATATAGTCACATATGAGCAATTATGGAGACTGTTGAAATGGTTAGGAATGGTGAGGGGGATATGGCTGCAGTGTTGGGGGAGTTTTCAGAAATGCAGAACTCCTGACCCTCAGCTTGTGACACTGGAATACACATTAAAAAAAAACAACAACAACAACAACAGATAGGTAAAATGTTAGTATGTTAGTTGTAGCGTTTCCCGCTGTGAGTAGCATTTCACTGTGGATCAATAGTGTCCGCAGCAACAGTCAAAAACACATTTGTATGCATTTAGTGTACCAGCTTCTCCACTTCCAATGTGAACCACACACTCAAAACCCAGTTAGAATTTGTGTGTGCTGTACTATGGAACTGTGTGGGTCTAGAAAATGACCAAACATACAGGGTCTGCATAGAAAGTATGTATTCAAAGACTGAATAAGATAAATAAACTAACACTGAGAATAGGCTCACAGCTTTTGAACTAGAACAAAACTTACTTTACTTGTTGCTTTATTCATGGATATCATTATACTACTTTTACTTGTTTACACCCTGAAGAGCCTCATTTAACACAGACATCAAGTTGTTTTATGGTGATGCTCTTATGGAAGTCTGATAGAATATGAAAACAGGGCAGGATCATATAACCAGACTGTGGGAGCAAATAATACATCAAATCCCAAATGTGAACGCAGTCAGGTCAGCATCCTCTGCACTCAACCGCAGGTCACACCATAGCTCTGACATGCAAAGCCTACAGGCAGATGAGCTCTGTCTCACCTGCCTGTCATCAGTGTGTCTGCAGGCTGCTCAGTCCGTGCCTCTGTTGGCTGACGGGTGGAGGAAGGGGGCTGGGTTTAGAGCCTGTGGGTGCGGAGGGAGTCTGAGGGATGGATGCTGACAGGATGCAGATTCGCCTCAGCGGGCCTCACCAACCCTCTCCATCCTCCCGGCGATGCGCTGTGCGTTATGACGCCAGGCCGTTTGACGAGTGCGTTACGTGGGACTGGCAGAGCAGCACAGCAGCCTGGCTCCTCGTTATGTAATGCATCGGATGCTGCTGCACGGGCACTGAGTTGCAGGGGTGAAAAAACAGACGGATGGCTGATTTAGAGACACATAACGGCGCGTTTGCTTCTGACTGAGCGTGCAGACGTCTGCTGTCGGCAAGTACAATGATAGCTGCATATCGCTGGGTGCAGTGTGATTGAGCCCGGCCGGGCATCAGTGGCCTATCCCCAAGGTGCACAGACGTCTGGAGCCTGCGGAAGCTGCACTGCTTCTTCTTTTTGCTTTTTTTTTTATATTTTTGTTTGTAGCCGATCAGAGGCGTGTCTCTGTTTAAACCCGTCTCCTACATCAGTTGAAATCAACCAATGCGGGTTTGTTTCGGAGAAGAAACGGGTTCATATTTGCTTCTTTATCGCGCTATTTTAGTCCGACAGCCACTGAGCTGTGGTATAAACAATGGCGGGTCCCGAGCAGTCCCAGCAGCAGCAGCAGGTAGAGGAGAAGGCAGAGCACATAGATGATGCTGAGATGGCCCTGCAAGGTATCAACATGCTGCTCAACAACGGATTCAAGGAAAGCGACGAGCTTTTCAGGAGATACAGGTAATTGATGCTGTATCACCATAATAACATGTCACTGTATGCTGCATGCCTGAGCCTGTAATATCAGCAAGAGGGGGAAAAAATCTCAAGGAAAAAGGTTACAAGTGGCTATTAGACATCAAAGTGACATTCAGAGCACTGAGTACAGAATGTACTACTAGTGTGTAAACACTGGTCTACATCTACAGCAGTATAATTAATGAATTACTGTGTTGGCTGCTTTAAATGCACTTTAAAGCTTGTGTATCAGGTCTGTCTTACCTGTCTTACCATTATAGACCGTCTCTGATTTAATGTTTCTAACACAGAGAAGAGATTTCATCATGGAGACAAGCACTATTCAAATCTATGCACCTAGCTGTCTACACCACAATGTGCACTTATTCTTATCTCAGCCGGTTGTGGACCCTGCACATCTGGTTGACTTTTGAAAGTACGGTTTGGGCTGCTTTTTTTTTTTTTTCAGTGGAAGGTGGGCACCCCACGTCCCACAAACAGGTAGTAGTTAGACCCCTAATATGACAGCTGAACATGGGGATTGTGGCTGCACCTGCTCCTGAGCATGCTCTGTTCCTGCCTGCTGGAAAAGTTACCATGCACGGCTCCTTTCGGCTATGCATATGAATAATTCTCTTTGGTCTCTCTTTTGTTGTGTGGTTTCTACATCTTCCTCCTTTCTATTCTCTCTGTAGGACCCAGAGCCCGCTGATGAGCTTTGGGGCCAGTTTCGTCAGTTTTCTGGTGAGTTTCCTTTCTACTGGTGATAAAATGATCCAATAAAATGCCAAGAGAAGTATCAGCTTGTGTTAAGAAATAGCAAAACAGTGAAATTCAAGCCCATACTGTCACACTTCATAAGGAAAGCACCCAGTATCAAGACCTGAAATAACCCAATCTGTCAAAGTGGTTGCATCATTGTCACCACTGGCATCGTCTCCATTGCTTTTCCACCCATTAACATAATGGATGTGTCTTCCTGTCAAGAACAGCAACGCAGAGAAGCACATTACTGCAATGCTCTGTCCATCACTGATGGGAGAGGGAGAATTTTTTCACAGCGTGGTGGTCACACACACGCACACTGCCGTTGCCCCTCATGACGATGCTCCCCCACCATGAAGCCAGAGATGATGTCATCCTCTGTACCCAGATGCAAAATGGCCCTGAGGGCAGTGGGGGTGGTGACATCTGACCGTTGTGGTGGGCAATCGTATGTGCACAGCCCAGGGCTAGTTAAATGCAGCATAAATGGAGAGAAAGCCTCAGTTAAGAAAAGACAAGAAAATATCCAACCACAAAATCATCTCTAAATATCACTGCAGGTTATTATTTAATTTATGTGTGATTATTTCCACACTTGATCAAGGTGAGGTTTCAGCAACATCAGAGCAAAGATGTTCTGATTGAGTTTGCTGTGTAGCAACCTTCCAACTCCAAACACACAGCTGTACAGATGTCACTGTGTTCCTCCATTCATTGTTATGCAGAAAGAGCCCTTTGTCCTTTTTTAAGACCATTACATAACACTCCCTCCCTCTAATTACATGTTTGTGTTTGTAAGCCCACTGAAGCATAGATCTGCTCTGTAAAAGAAAACAATTTAATATTAGAATTATAATGCGCTTTGGTCAAGTCTGGTTGTTTTAAATATGCTATATAAATAAACTTGATTTGATTGGATTTGAATGCAATTTTGCTGCATTGCATTTCAGAATGCCATGATGACATTTGAGGAGGAGAAGATGCAGACAGCCTGTGACGACCTGAGGACCACTGAGAAACTGTGTGAGAGTGACAGTGCCGGAGTCATAGAGACAATCAGAAACAAGATTAAAAAAAGTGTGAGTACGAAACAAAAATATATTATATATATTGACTGTTGCATGGCAATAAGGCACCTACACACTTAACTAAACTCTGATAAATAATGCTGCTGTCAATGTTGCACAGAACTAAAAGGAAGTGATATTGATAACACCAATTTACACATTTAGATTTTTCACTTCCATTGCATTGTTGCTGATGTGTCTTAATATCGCCGCCAGAACACGCTACTGTCCATATCCTCGGCATCAGGCCTAATGATGCAGGCAGCAGTGAGATCATGCCAAGCCCACTCACAGATTCAATTAGTACTTCTGTGAAATGTAATCAACAAAGTGGGTGAGGAGTGTGGGGGCTGTTGAGCAGCTCAGGGTCATTCACTCCTTGTTACTTTAGCTGCCAGCCTCTGGGGAATGATGCAGGGTGTGTGTGTGTGTGTGTGTGTGTGTGTACTGCTTATTGAATATGTGTGTGTGTTACAGATGGACTCCCAGAGGTCAGGCGTTGTGGTCGTGGACCGCCTACAGAGACAGATCATCGTTGCTGACTGTCAGGTGTACCTCGCTGTGCTCTCCTTCGTCAAGCAGGAACTTTCAGGTAATCAAATTTAATGTCTGTCTCTCATGGCAACCAGTATTTAGGGCATTATGTCATCATGGTGGTGTGTGTGTGTCTGTATGACTAATATATAAACACTTATCAATGATATAACTCAAGTATTCAAGTACATTATGTGATTTTATGTAAATGTTAATGAGGAACTGAATTTGTGATGAGTTCATATTATTACAGCATAGGTGGTATGTAAAGTGTCACTGTGTTAGCAAACACATTTGTTAAAAAAGTCATTAATTTGGTGCTGCAACAATAAGTTGATCAATCTATGACTTATTGAATTAGTCAAGCAACTAATCAAACGTTTTTCATAATATTGTTTTTCTGTTTTAATCTGTTTTGTATTACTGCAAATGTATATAATATCTTTGGGTCCGTTCTGTTGGTTGTATATAACTAGTTTGTTATGCAAGATGGTGAGGGGCATTTTAACTGTTTTTTCAAACTTTATAGATTGAACAGGTAATCAATTATTGAACTCATCTGTTTGAAGCTGTGCCTAAACTGGTGCTTTGAGATAAATGCTAATGTCAGCAGGCTAACATGCTCACAATGACAATGCTAACATGCTTATGTTTAGCAGGTGTATTGCCTACCATGTTAATCATCTTAGTTTAGCTTCTTAGTGTGCCTAAACCAAAGTATGGGACAACATAAGATTTGATCTGTTGAAAGGAATCACGAAAGTTACCATAGTTCATATGCTAGTGGGGCCAAAAAAATCAATACGTAGATTAATTGACCATAAACATGTTCATTAGCTTCAGACCAAGATCGATAAGATTAATTAATGACTTTATTACAGAAAATGATGGTCTCACTTTTCCATTTGAGCATCTCCATGTAAAACCTCAAGAGTATCTTCTTTCTTGTCTCTACTAAAAGCTTATATCAAAGGAGGCTGGATCCTTCGTAAGGCGTGGAAAATGTACAATAAGTGCCACAGTGACATCAGCCAGCTGCAGGATACCTGTCAAAGGAGGTCCTCTGTCCATCAGGAGTCCCTCTCAACAGACAACGCCAACCACAACGCACCGGTGGAGAATGGCGTGACGGCCGAGGCCCTGGACCGACTCAAGGGCTCCGTCAGCTTCGGCTACGGCCTCTTCCACCTGTGCATCTCCATGGTACCACCACACCTGCTCAAGATTATCAACCTGCTGGGTTTCCCTGGTGACCGTCTCCAGGGCCTGTCATCCCTTATGTACGCGAGTGAGAGCAAGGACATGAAGGCACCACTAGCTACGTGAGTAGGCTCAGGTTGTATCATTTTTTACAGAAGGATACAGATGTCACTGGAGGCAGCTAAGCTATACATCTACAGCATAGACACTTTAAAGTGTTTTAAAGTTCCTGTTAGCTCTACGTTTTAGTGTCACTCAGCTCATTGTTTTGGTTTTACAGCCTTCAACTTAATTGTTTTGGTTCACTGTCACTGCACTCATCAATATCATCATCAGTCATGGCAGGCGGCTGTTTTCAGCAAAAAAAGCTCTGATAAACCCACTGTATGCAACCTGCCCAGCGCCAACAGCAGACAGACACAGTTTGCAACTAGGTAGCTTGTGAAGATAGTGGAGCATTTGGCTTCTAAATAGCTGGTAGAAAATAAAACAGAGCCAAAAAGCTAAAATTGGACTTTCGTGTAAAGAAACTTCTTGCTAACACGTTTACCATATCATCATAATAAGTTGTTACAGCTTGTTGCGCTGCCCCCAGGTGGTAAAAAAGAAAAGAAAATGAAATCGGTTAATGCAGATTCAGTAATTGGTGAAAACCAAAACCCTTGACACTACATCCTAGGAACTTTGAGTATGAATAATGTCAGTGATTCTTAGTGTTGTCGTCTTGTAACTCTTTAAAATTATGCTAAATCGGAACCCATTACAAAATAACATCACTAAAATTAGACATAATAAATGTGTATACTGAAGCATGGGAAATATTTTTTTATCCAGTAAATGCTGATCCTGGCCCTCAGAGCATATCTCTGGTTACCTTCTGCTATCACAGTTATACAATGACAGCATAGAATATATTTAAATAGGGAGTTTGTTTTCATCAAAAGAGCCATTGGACATGTTGGTTCACATATTGTAATGGTGTGATCCTATTTATTCCTGCCATCAGGATGTGTTAACGGTAGTTTGCCCGATCTGGCCTTGACCTTGAAAACAGCTGTTAACAATATATTCTATACTGCCATTATTAGTATAACAGTGAACTGCTCTGACACATTTGGAACTTATGTACCTTTTATAAACATTCAGTTTAATGCAGATTCCCACTGAGCTTCAGATTCCAAAAACTGTATGGTCTGAGTGTCCTGTTGTTTTGCTCAGGTTGGCCCTCTTGTGGTACCACACAGTAGTGCTGCCCTTCTTTGCTCTGGATGGCTCTGATACACATGAGGGGCTGCTGGAAGCCAAAGCTATTCTGCAGAGAAAGTCGGTGGTTTACCCCAACTCATCCCTCTTCATGTTCTTTAAAGGACGGGTCCACAGGCTAGAGGTATGTACAGCAGGCTCAGGCTTGGTGATGACACGCTGAAGTCTATTGAAGCTGTAAATGGTTTATTTGTAATGCTGAATAAAGACACCGAATGGCAAATATACAGTACAGTAGACAAACCTTCTGTTTTACAGTAGAATCAGCTGGTACAGCAGTCTCTGTTCAAGCACATATAATTTATGTGCATGTCAGATTGTTTGTTAACTCACCAACATATGATCCACCATCTACTTATCTAACTGTCTCATTCCACACATGCATGTAGTGTGTGTCTAACATAACTACTGTTACCCATTGGTGTGTGTGCTCTCTCTCTATCCCCAGTGCCATATCAACAGTGCTTTGGCCTGTTTCCATGATGCATTAGAGCTTGCATCAGACCAAAGAGAGATCCAGCATGTGTGTCTCTATGAGATTGGTACGTGTTTTCTCACCAGGTTAGTTGTGACATACTGGCAGTTGGTGTACAGTGCAGTGAGGGACTCATTCTCTTCTGTCTGCTTGTCTTTGTATCAGGCTGGTGTAGCATGATAGAGATGAATTTTGAAGATGCATACAGGTCGTTTGAAAGGCTGAAGAATGAGTCACGTTGGTCGCAGTGTTACTATGCCTACTTGACTGGAGGTAAGCCTGTTGCACACTAACATACGCCCGGTGTGATGTGTCCACTCTGTATTCTAGTCTTTTTTGTCTTTTTCCAGTGTGTCAGGGTGCTTCAGGTGACCTGGATGGAGCAAGCGGCGTTTTCAAAGATGTGCAGAAGCTGTTCAAGAGGAAAAACAACCAGATAGAGCAGTTTGCTGTCAAAAGGGTGTGTTTTGCTGCAGATTTTGACCTTTTTCTCTCTTTTGCAAGTCATCACTAGTGTGTCACTAAAGTTTTTCTATCTGATTCCTATCTGCAGGCTGAGAGATTGCGAAAGACCTCCCCCACCAGAGAGCTATGCATCCTTGGTGTAATTGAAGTGCTGTATCTGTGGAAAGCGCTTCAAAACTGCTCCTCATCTAAACTGCAGATAATGAATCAGGGTGAATGTAACCTTTGTGATCCATGCCAACATAACTAAGTTAGCTGCAGCAGGATTTCTAAGAATTTAATTTTACCCTGTGTGATAATTCCCTCTGTATGTACTCAGTGTTACAGAGTTTAGATGAAGCTTCGTGCAGAGGCCTGAAACACCTCCTTCTTGGTGCAGTTCACAAATGTCATGGAAATATGAGAGATGCTGTTCAGGTATCAGTCTACACTCAATGAATACTGAATGACAGATTACAGTTAATCTACACTTTCAGTGTTACTCCACTTGCTCTCTCTTACCGTTTTTATCTGTAATCCAGGCATTCCAGCTGGCTGCTAGAGATGAGTATGGGCGACAGATCAACTCATATGTTCAGCCATATGCTGTCTATGAGCTCGGATGTATACTCCTCGCAAAACCAGAGGTCAGTCTGCTGCACACAGCACTCACATTTTTATCCATTCACATTTTCATTTGGATTGATATTATAAACCAAACTTTTTTACATTGCAATCCAGACGGTGGGCAAGGGGAGATCATTGCTACTTCAAGCAAAGGTAAAATATTTACAATCATCTAAAGAAGAAATCATGTTAATCTCCCAGATAATGTTTATATGTTACAAGTGACTGATTACATTTTTTAAATTCTAATCTATCTATCTATCTATCTATCTATCTATCTATCTATCTATCGTATCTACGTATCTATTCTATCGTATCTATCTATCTATCTATCTATCTATAATGTTTTAGGAGGATTTTACTGGCTACGACTTTGAGAACAGGCTTCATGTCCGCATCCATTCAGCCCTGGCTTCTTTGAAGGAAGTAGTGCCTCAGTGACCCCTGGAAGGAAAGCTATAGTGGCTCAAGTTATGCTTATGGCTTTTCACACCAAGTGTTTAGCCATTCAAAATAACTGTACGACATCTCAGTAAATAGACTACTGCGTTTCTCATTCTTAAAGGATTTGGGGAAATACACTTGTTTGTGATATTACCCAGTCACACCGATATGAGGTGTTATCTGCATTTTGTACAGTTAACAGTGTTTACGTGTTCATACCAACCTAGCAGGGAGCACAAAGTAGATGGAAATGGCTAGCTTAGCTATGTCTAGCAAGTTAAAAATGCCTAAAAACCTCAAAGCTTTGATACCAGTATGGGCTTGTTAGCCAGCAAGCTAGTCACCTCTCTGGGCAGCCCACTAATGGGACAGCACTGTTTGGAAGCTGCTGTTGTTGGTGAAAAAATAGCTCCAACCGCTTCTGGTCTAATTTTTGCATTTCTGTTTTATGGCATGTTCATAAACAGTAAAACATGTATAAATAATATATCTTTGGGCTTGTTAGGAGGTGCATTTTTTTCAATTTGACAAAGCTAAGCTAACGGTGTCCCCTTGCTTCCTGGCCTAGCGCTAAGCTAGGCTAAACACATCCCACGGCCTCTTTCTGAACAGATGCACAAAGATGATATTAATATCAATCCTTGACAACAAACAAGCATATTTCCCCAAATCTCTAACTGTTCTTTTGAGTATTTTCTGCACCCAAATGTATTAGCTAGCTTGTAACAATCTTCCTCATTAATGTATTTGGAGGATTTCAGTCCTGCCTCCCCATCCCTCCAGTGAGCCATTCAGCACATAAAAGTAACTTTTTAATGAGATCATATTTCCCTTAATAGTAGAACTTTACAATGAGTTGTAAAATATACAGATAATAGTGTTTTTAAACGTTCTTAAAAAACATGCAGACAACATTTGAGCATCTCACTTTCAGTAATAAAAAATAATCAATGATACCAATTCTTTGCCATATCACATATAATGAAAAGGATAAGGGAAAGATTAGTCAGATTTAATATTTGATTTTTATATATTGTTATAAAGGACTCCATGGATTGTTAATTTTTCAGCAATTATTTCACAAGTGAAGCTTTTCCTAATTCCATTTTCAATATCTGCTTGTTAAATTGCAAATGGCCATTGCGTCATATCAAAAAAACTTACTATACACAATGGAAATAAAATAACAAACCTGTAGTCTGATTAGTTACCATGGGTATAGTTAAATATTGCCAAAAACTTTCACTGCTGCTGTGAGTTAATTATTCACATCCAAGTAGTTAGACATAATACCTTTATAGTAATTGAGAAATCACCACACATCACAATGCCCTAATGAAATTTCTTTTGGAAACACTGGGCATTGATCCTGTGCACTATGCATGGTATGGCAGGGTAACAGTGGCTGTAAGACTGTAATGAAGTCAAATGTACCTGTGTGTCCATCCCTGCAATTAAGGTGTTATAATACAGTACACTTGGTACTGTAACATTATCATTGAAAGGTGCTGCTAAATGTCAGCCTAATAAACATATATTACTAGTGACTTATTTTAATAGTGTTTTAGTGATACAAGCTTTTGAAGTAGTCCATAATAGTGACAAGTTTATTTATTACATAGCAGAAGTTGTACTTTTACAAGTGTCATTTACAGTGAGCAATTTTAATTTGAGTCTTGAACTCAAAGTGTGAAATGGAGAAAGAGTAATATGTCTGACTTATTTTAACAAACTCTCAACACAGTTTTACTCTGTACATATGAATTATTCTGTGCAGGGTATTGCCTTTTATTGATGAGCACTCTGGGTTTTTGTCATGCGAGCAATATCAGAAAAATGGGGACATCTTACACTAATTTACAGAGGCTTTCAACAATGTCTATCTGTGTTTTTCATATTTTAGACATATAGATTTGTTTTGCTCACACTAAGCTGGTTAGACAAAGCCAGCCATCCCCTGTGGCTGTGATGGATGTAAACTGTGGTAAATGTTGAGGTGACCACTGTGCAAGTGGTCTGTGTGGTGCAAGTAACGTAACGGTAAAATGTCAGTAACCTACATGCTGTACCAAATACTTCTGTCACTGAAAGAATTTTTCCTTTTGTCATGAGATTTTGTTTCTAATGAGGTTACATGTCTGGATGATGGTGTTCTAATGTTTTACTCAACTCTTCAATAAACTGTGCTCCATTAACAATGTGGTGTTTTTCTTTGCCTCTGAGTTATTTTTTTTAAAGCAGAAATTTAGCTTAGGTTTGGGCTCGTGTCCAAAACTACTTCCATGGTTCGGGCTTGGTTTGGGTTGGCAGAATTTTTCAAGCTTAGGTCGGGCCTGATCAAAGCTCTACCTCTCTCTTACATGTCCATACATGAATCCATGCGTATAGATCCTGTTTGTGCATGTGTGTATTTCAGGCCTGTGTGTGTTAATATACTGAATATAATAACAGAAAAATAATGTGTTTTCCCTCGAGGGATTAATCAAGTATACCTTCTTCTGTCTTCTTTTTTATCAAATTCTTTTGACGTGAGAACAAAGCTTGCAGGCAGTCATTACCATGGTTCTGAGCTGATGAGTCACGCAGAGCTTTAACTTACCTTTTTATGGTTTTTGAAGGTTGTTTTCCCTTGTTTTTAATGCATCTACCTACAGTGCCCACTTTTTTCCACCAGGTGGCGCTTATCTCACAGGCTGCACCCAGGATGTGACAGATTGTTTTTTCCCACACCTTGATCACAAGGACAACAGGAGGTGTGTGTAATGTCTCCTATTTCATTTGAAAAGCTATTATTGATTAAATGGTGTACGTTTATTTCCATCCACTGGTTATAGCTGCACTTTTGCACTTTTTCTTATTTGTAATTCTTTAATTCAATGTGACATATTTTCCAATGAAAATTAGGAGCTCCTTTTAATGGCCTCGACAAGAATAATAATCTATCATTGAGTGGATTATCTTTATATTCATAATTCAATTCATGATATTACTGTCTCTGTTTTTTCCATGTTGAATGTGATTAGGGTGGGAGATTGCTCTACGTTCTCTGACAGATACACACCAACAGCGTCTCTTTAAGAAAACATGTCTGTCACACTTGGCTCAAGGCAACAGCTCACTCAACCAATAAATTATTCAGGCTCCTGTGCCACTGAATTTAGACAGAACAGAGCTGGAAGGCCGGGCAGAAACAATACCACAAGTCCTGCATCTTACTTTAGTGGACGCTGCTACTCTTAAATAATCAAGACACTTCCTTTCACGCACACTTATAAAACTGAGCCTTCAGTTTGGCCTACCTCACTTTAAAACAGGGAGGACAAGTGTATATGAGGTACCTCATGTAGTATGTGGTGATTCATGCGAGTGACATCATCCTTGTGATTCACACTCACTTCTTATTTTGGTAGACCACACTACATATATGCTTTCTGTGCACGGATTAGAAAATCTTAATGCAGATGAATTAAATAAAGCAAATGCATCAGATAGAAGTGGAGGAGACAGAGGGGGCCCAAGAGAGATGTTACACATCAAGCAAATGTGAGAGGGTGAGAGAGAGGGAGGGACAGAGAGCAGTAGGAACGGTAGGACTGTGCAAAGAGCAAGGTCAGAAAACACAATTGCATTGTGTTTCACTCAGGCTGAAACCTGAGCAGCCCAAGTATCCTACCACCAGATAGAGAGTTCCTGTTCACTGCCCTTTATGCTGCTAAGCTAAGCTAAGTGTAATGGATACATGCGTGGATTATAATACAAGCATGATGGCATAATAAGCCCATTCACATTCTAGGTGAAACAGATTTTGACTAATAGGTGTACAATGGAATACATTTAGAATCATACTTAAACATACAGTATGGTTGCCAGATAGTACATCTATATACAGGTAACTTCCAAACAAAAAGAAAATGTACTGATCTAATAGCAACAATCTCTACAGCCACCAAACCATTACTGTCTGTAGTGCGCACATCAGGTCACTTGTACAAGGACACATTGACATTATTAGGCTCAGTCCTCCCATCTCTCCAATCAGCTCAATGACTGTCTAAGAGCTTCATCGACATCGCTCCAGGCGCTTAATCTTCACCTGTTCTCACTCTAGGTCTAGCTTTTACACAAGCTGAACTACCAATGTTGATATTTTTCTCTCTGACGAAACATGAGTCCCATTATAAGTTGAAGTGATTAATCTTTTAAGCAAATTATTTTTTTACTACAAGCAATAACATTTTTTTTATTGTAAATCTTCAACATAAGGGCCAGTTTAAACAATGTATCAATTCAGATCATGCTAATAATTACATTTCACAATAACTGTAATACAAGAGCCTTTTAGGTAAGAGATGCTGCAGTATGTATCTACACATATTGGTTTCAAATGCAGCTCAGGAACATTTAGAGGTTTTGAGATCAACACATATTACATATTTACTCATTGACATCATGAGCTGTTCTGTTCCATGGCTACAAGATGACGAGTTCAACACAACACTACCCACCCATCTTAAAATAAAAAAAATAAAATAATAATCTCTTGACTGTGTTTACCAGTATTGGAATTTATCATGTTTTTTAATTCATTTCTTGATCTAAAATAAGCCAATTTTAAGTATATTTAAAAATAAACATTTGCCTATAGAACTCTGACAGTGTGTTACCTTTTTAAATGATTGAATGTGAATAGTTGCAAAAATCCCCAAATGTACACAAAAACAGTCCTTTTTCACAGCAGACACTGATTTGTGATTGTAGGAAAAGCACAGGTGCAACTAATAACATAGTGTGACAGCGAGCCAGCATGCACAATACCAGGACCCTGAAACTGAAGCATCTGAATGGAATTCAGCCACCATTCATTTTATTATTTACATACTGTGACGTGTCAAAATGTCTTCTGTGAAAAAGGCCTGCACTGATGCCATACCCTCAGTGTCCTCAATGATAGGCACAATAATAACAAATCATCTGACATTATTGTTTTCATCGTTGTTATCTCTATTAAAGACCATTGTCATCTCATATGATTAAGCAACAGCTTAAAGATGGCTGACTTCCATTTAGCTGCCTCAGTTTTATGGTCCTGATATTGAGCATGTTATTAGTAACACTTTTTCCTACTATGACAAGTCATCATGTCTGCTGTGAACCTATTGGTTTTGTATGTGTACCGTTTAACTTTAAGTATTTGCTGCAGTAGACGCAGGGTGTAGACACAAAATTGACGAGAGGCCTACAGGAGCTCCACATTTGCAAAAGAAACATGGTAATATTTCTGCGACAGTATTATACTGTTTCTGTTCTCTGAGATGCCTCATTGTGTGCTTCACTGAACAGGCAGTTTCCATGGCGGAGACCTGTTTTGTGCCAGATTGTCCCCTCTCAGCTTGATGTCCCTGGCTTGACCTACTAAACCCTATTCATAACAAATGCATCCTGTTGTCCACTGCATTCAAACCAAGCCTGCAAGTAAACTTGGCTGCTTTTGGGAAAATATACAGTACCCCTGCTATTTTTTTTTTTTAACTTTAAATAAAAAGCATAACACAACAGCAGCTTTCATTTGAGGTGTTACTAATCTTGCTGCTTTTCTTTCTCCCTGCTTCCCCCTCCCCTCCCCTCACCTCCCTCCCTCCCTTCCCACTACTGCATTGATGCTGTTACCTCCCTCGGTGGTGATGTCACCGGCTCAGTGGAGCTCGAGCATCCTCCTCACCAAAGGCAGGGAGACAACAGAGCCATTTTGACTGCTTAGGTGTGTGAAGAAGCGGCCGACCATCCAAACAACCGACCGGACCACCTTCCTGGGTCCCCACACAAGACAGGGCAGAGGGGGGAGGGTTGGCAGGCACAAGACACTGTCGGTGGTAACCTCAGTTTTAATGGAGAGGAGAGGCTGTTAGCAGGGGCAGTGCCAGACCTGGAGGAGACCAGAGGAGGTGGAAGTAGCTACGGGGGCTGGATAATAAAGCAGGAGCACGAAAAACACGGTCTCTATACGGGGGGAGACGTTATTGGCACTGCGGAGGTAGGTTCACCTTTTTCATTTTTCCATTGTTCCGCTGGTAATGCAGTTTTAATGAGACAGTCTTTATTTACTTAGTGTTAAATCTCCTGGGAAGAGATGGGCATAGGGTGCGGCCATTGAAGAGGCTGTCAATGTCGGAAAGACTATAGAGACATAATGACATTAAAGCTGCTCTGTCACACAGTACACGCACTGTCATGTTATTGTATTGCTTATATTGTGTGATAAAATGTCTTTTAATTGTGTGTGAAGGGAGTCGGTAATAAATGCCCTGTCATTGGGCGACATGAAACTACGAGGCGTATTGCTATAGCTGTTAGCCTAATTGAAGACGTGTTATATGATAAGCTCCGAAAATGACGCAATATGTATTTTAGAAAGTAATTACAGCAATTAATAATCAATGTCCGCCTCACAAATAATGGTTCCTTAAGCCGGTGTTGACCTGTGCTCTGTGTCTTTGCTGTCATGCTAAAAAGCTTCTAAATAAAAACAAATATATAAGCCTATATATATGTATATATATATATTTTTTTTTTAATGAGTGACAAGGTAACATTGTATCAAACTGTCGTCATGCTCAGATACACACCAGCATGGTGTATTACATTAGCCTTTGTCACCGGGAAAATGGTGGCCGCCCAGCTGAGCTGCATCATCAGCTGATTGGTCTGAGCATCTGTATGAAAAGATTATGGACATGGACATTATGCACAGATTTTTGATTTTTATAGAACTTAAAGTGTTGTTTTTTACACATCATGTATAATACATTGAGGAGTAAAACCAACACTTCACTTCCACATGTGATATATATATATAAAGGCTAAGATATTCTGTTTCAGTGGGTGAACAAACGATACGTTTAAGCATCTTCATCAGTTCATTTCAAATATCAAAACAATATTGGATTTGATGTTGAACCTCTTGTATAATTAAGTGTATTTCATTTATAAATCCTAATTTGCCCTCAGTGGACAGTATGGTTGCACCCTAAAAACCAAAATACATTTTTTCCTACAAAGTTACATTTCACAAACGAATCTGTTAAGGTGCCAGCTGTGGACGACGTACCAGGAAGCAGGGTGACACAGCAGATTTACAACACTCAATTATAATGACAGATATCTGAGTCACAAACCATAGCAACATACTGAATATTGATACAAAACCCCAACATTCTCCCAAATCTGCATACATTAGGTTAAAGAAACGTCTCTTTCTCTTGTTAAATGTGACCGTTTATAAATATTCGATTGAGGCATGCAGTAAAAGCTAATTGTATCATATTGCCCGCTGTTAAAGCTTATTGATGAAAACATTAAATGATTGTCATTTGATCGCCACAGATGATGAGTCACGCTTGCTCTTGATACACCCACGACGCTAACACACACCAAAATCACACAGTGATTGAATGTTCATATTTAGTCTTTTAGGAGATGGTGTGACGAGTTGTTCATGAAACGGAGCTGCTGAATGCAGCCAGACCCTGGATTTGTGGCTGGTTTCAGTGCCATTGTCATCCAGGGAAATAGCCTGACATTTAGCTGCTGCTGCACTTCTTTTGTTACTGCTAGCTTTATTATCCATCTCCCTTGGCTGTAGCTGACCATGCATGGTCTTTTCATGTTACAGCCACACAGCCCTGCCCTCCTCTATTGTGCCGATCACGTCAACCGTGAGGTGTAATATTCAGCCCGTACAATTTTGAACACTAATGTAAAAATAAAACCTCTTTGTAACATAACGTAACAAAAACATATCATAACTTAACATAAAACAACAGTCTCTTACAGCATGTCGTTCACATAAGAACTGATAAAGGGAAAAAAAGATACATTTTATTAATTAGGATTCACTATCTGCTCCCTTCTACAGACTTGTGGGCCCTACACCTGGGCACTAAAGAAGGTGCTAGGAAGTCAGCACCATGGCAGCGGCCTCTGTGAAGGTGGCTGTGCGGGTCCGCCCCTTCAATAGCAGGGAGATCGGAAAAGAAAGCAAATGCATCATTCAGATGTCTGGAAACACCACCAGTAAGTACTGAGCTTAAAATTCACCTATTCCCCTGCAGTATGTGTGTTATGTATGCTAGTTTGGTTTCATGTGGTTTTCATGAAGCGGGGTAATAAGAAATATAATATAACTCAAATCCTGTATATAACCAACAATACATGTAACATAGGTAACTATTGTATATTTTGATGTTTAGTTCTTTAATGTATGTTTGTCTGCTTTGAAAATAGAAAAAGGAAGCATGCTTATGTGGATGTCATGTATGATGTGGATCCAACTCCTCACAGTAATAATATCTGAAACAAATCTGCCACCAATGCAAATATGCAATAAGCACAATAATAACAGACACATCTGGAAGAATTTTTTTCCAGAATGATTTTCTCCATTTGGAAGTGCCATTTCTTGCGTACATTGTCTAGCTGGAGTAGAGTTTCTCTGCAAAACCTAGTGTATTTGGTGCCATATGTTGTACATTTTTTAAGTATGTAGATCAGAATGCCCCACATTCCTCAGGTTATACAGTACACAGAGCGAGGACTCTTGTCGAGATGAGACTGGAAAGATACTCGATATGTAGTCTGCTTAGCAAGGTAAAGCCATTTGTCAATAATGGATGAGGCTTCCTGAAATATTTACCGTTTGGCCTAATTTAGCCTTCTCCCCCTTCCTTCCTCATGTCATGGGTGACTAGACAACAAGCTGGGTGGCTTTTTTGGGCCGTCATATTTTAACTTTGTGATTTGTTGCATTTCTGATGTAGATCCTGGCTAGACTCAATACTTACAATCTTAAAAAACTCTTTCTCATTAATTGTTCCTTTTTTTGACTAGTCCAGTTAAAGATTTTACAGCATGATGGTGACTACATTTTGTTGACACCTACAGTAAGAGTGGTTTCTTTACCTTGGCACAGAGCTCCTTCTTCTGACTCTACAGCAGTGGACAATGAGTATTTTGCTGTCAGCAGTGTAATCTTAGATCAGAGACACTGTAATCCACAGGGAATATATTTACACCGTGAATGCCCCTGGAGACGTCCCGTTTATTTTATCTAAAGCCAATTTTCTGTTGTTTAATTAAGCAAATAAGCCAAGTACATGTAACTTGAAAATATTTACACTACCATGATAATCAGTGTAGTGATCACTTGTTCTTTAGTTGATGCTAATTTGGTTCATTCAGCAGTATATGACATCAGTCATGCTGTCAAAGCACTGTAGGCATTGTATAACACATACCATAGATCACTCTTTTTTAAAAAGACCATGGAGCCAAAATTGACTGCAAACTATATTTTAAGTACCTAGCTGCTTCTGGTTTTTGTTTTTTTCAGAAATATAGTTTTATTTATTACAGTAATATCAGAAGTAGTTATGGCATCTAATATAAGTAACACAATATTTTCTCTAAAAACCTGATCTTTGCATCATTTTTGTATATATATTTTTTGTTTTTTTATGAGTAGCATTAAGGGAACTACAAACCTAATTTCATTATACATTGCTGGGTTGTAAATTATCTCTTGGGTTTGATTGAGACATACTCAAGGGAAGTCTTCTTCACTGATCACTTCACAGACAAAAGTTGGTCTGTGTGAACAGATTTTAGTCAGGCCTAAGTCCTGATTCTGTTTAATCAATCGACCTTAAAATCCAGAGATTAAACTGAGTTTAGCATTATGTCAGCAGTACTAGAAAACTTCTTGTTGGTCGCACCCACACAGACCACAAAGCTGCTTTCAGTGAGGGTAGAGTAGAGCAGATTGTTCTTTTCCAAACTGAGTCAATGGCTCTGGATGTGAACTGGAGAATGTAAGCAGACTGATGTCATGAAAAAAGCCCATTGGTTGCAGTGTCTGGAGGGGGTACAGAGGCAGGGTATAAATGCCCCCTTGTCTTTTTGTAAACTGGGCTGAGGAAAGGAAGAAGAAGAAGGAGTTGTGAGGTTTTTTTGTGTGTGTCTCACTCTCTGCTTTGTGCTCTCTGACACTCATGTGTGGGTCAATAGCCCAGTTCCCACAAAGCAGGAGAATGGCAGTAATCTTGTTGTTTGAGAGATCTTCCCTCCCACGCTGACCTTAATTAAGATGCAGGGGACAGACCTGAGGGAAAAATAGACCTTGCTTTAGAGGGCCATTGGGTGCATCTACTTGGTGGAAGGTTTTAAATGGATATTGCAGCAAAACAACTTTTAAACTTATAAGAAATTTCACTACTGGACTGACTCAAAATATCTCTAGTTTATATCCCACCACGATGGCAAATTTATCTTGTTGTGGCGTAGTCTCTGTGTAAACAAATTCACATGAATTGAATTGATTATAAGGCAAACTGAGTGAATTCATGTTACTTTGAGCACAAATCTCATTAGCATGATTTGTACTGCTCTATAATGCTAATTATGGCACAACATAGACTGCTAAAGTAGTAAAGTAAAGTAAACTGGGATAGAAGCCCAACATAAAGCAGCAGACAACATACCGCCTACACACAGTGCTGCTGCTGCTGCTGAATATAGCATCTATGTGGCTCTCCTCCAGTCTCTGTCTGTCAGTGGGTTCACATCCCCTCTGCCAGACCTGCTGACGTGCCCACATTTCCTCTCCTATTGACTGGGGCAGGTCACCCGTGACTGTCTGACCAACATCACTCAGTCACAATTATGAAGACCTAGCAGCTATGACAAAGACAAACATGGAATGTGCCATAATGGGATGCTGAAAATATAATGTATGACAACTGAAATGAAGCTAGATCAGATAATTACCACTGTAGTTAGGATAAATGATGTGTGATGTTTGCATCACAGAGTGATAATGACGAGCACTGGTATAGGTCTATAAAAAAGTGAGCATACTAGACATCACACCTGATGAAAAGGTGCACACTTTTTTCAATTTAGGATACATCAAAATTTGAAATAACCTTTTTTCCAATTCAAAAACTGTACTTTTAAAAGTTAAAAATATCATCAAGGCAACATGTAACTCTCAAAAATAGTTGCAACTTTGTAATATGTAATACATTGTACTAATGTAATATGCAGTGTAACTAATCATTGGTAATGCACAATTATTCAGCAGTGGGGAAATGAGACCCTGTATTTGAAAGTATTAGCAGTAAAATAAAAAAGTATGTACAAGGGTTAGACTTAAGTTAGTATTTAGGTAAGTACTTACTAACTGGATCTATCTATTAGTCAATTTAAATTGATTTGAAGTAATTTTAAGTAAGAATATCCCCCCAAAAAATCACAGGTAGTGGGTATTCACATTTAAAGTACCTGTGATTTTCTGGGTGGTTTATAAATGAAAATAAATATTTTGAGGCTTTGGAACATCAGCCAAAACAAGACATTTTAATGTGTCAGCCTGGGTTGTGGAAATGATATATTATTTACTGTTTACTGTCAGTCAAAAAAATAATTGACAGATTATTCAATAATGAAAATGAAAGTCAGTTGCGGCCCTACCATGAAGAAAAAAAGAACTTCCAGCTAATTGATAATAGGCTAAGAAGTATTTACAAAACAGCTCTGAATCAAGGACTGTCAACTAAGTGTTTTTTGTGTCTTATTTTCACTTAAGAACAATTGGAACATGTTTCCATTCATTTTACTGTTAATAGTCTATTGGTGGATTATTTTTATATATATATAGCTTATGAGAGTTTCCTGCTGATTTTTGTGAAAGAAATACGGATTTTTTGTGCTGTAAAAATAAGTGGGAATATCAGAAGTGATTTTAAACTAAAATAATAATAAATCAAATTAAAATAAAGTCAGTAGTAGTGGTCTGTACGAGCAAACATTGTGTTGATAAAAGCGTAGATATGACACACACTTCTGACCACCTCTGGTGACAAGGTTTGCAAGAACATTACCATTTTTATTGTATCCCATCTAATGGCGTTTACCTTCCATGGCATGACCTCCAGACCCGGCGTCATCTATAAAGGCAACACCTCGTAATTAAAAAGCATTTCCATCATAAAAGAGAAGACAGGTAGTAAAGGGGGGTATGATGAAGATGGGAGATGTGCTCTGTGTGCTAAAAATGTTACTAAAACTGGCCTCAGGTGGAGATTACTCTGACACGCAAGCTGTGACCACTGACAACGTCATCCAAGCTACTGAGTTCAATTTAAATAGGCAGCAGCACTGCCCCCTGTAACACTCGTATGCTGCCAATCACTGCCACTCTAAAGTAATTACCTCCTAGAGAGCAGGGCGCTTTTCTTTCCGGTATTGGAGTATGGGGGGGTTGTCTTGTATGAATCATACCACAATCAGAGATGAGTAAGCAATGAGAGGATGTTAGAGGCTCTGCTTCTGGTTAATCTTAATATATTTTCCATTTTAGAGGTTTGGTACAATAATCCAGGTCTCCTTTTAGAATTGGTTTATTTCATGGCTTTCTTTTGTTATAGAACCAGGTCAGCGTTATTTACCAGGAAAACTGGTGAAAACCAGTTTTCACCACGTGGCAGCTTGAGGCCTTGTAGGATGGGACCTTCATGGACCTTTATTCATTGTCAAGTTGTACTAGATATACAGTATAGATATATACTGTGTATCTATAGAGGCTGTAACAGAGCGCCCTTGAACACCCAGGATGTGTGCTAATGCTGCATATAGGCATTGGTTGTTGCTTTTTACACAATATTATAAGAAAGATGCAGTGACTCACTCATATTTTTCTAGTGTTTCACCTGCATCATCACTTTACATAAACTGCACATTTCGTTGGAGAGTGGTTAGTTAGGATAGGTGAAAAGTAATTATTATTTTACTACTTAAAACAACAACGTAAACAACTGAACAGCTTATTTCCAGAATATGTGAGCAATCTGGCTTTGTAATGAGCAACAATTATCAGGGCTGGTGACAAGGACTCAAGTGCAGACCAGAGTTAGAAGTCTCA